GCGTTGGGGACAGCTGGCAGCAGGTGGCCCCGTCGGGACACGCCGAGCGGCCATCGGGACACAGCACCTGGCGCAGCGCCACTGAGGGGAGGGACACACGGTGTCACCACGGCCCAGCGCACGGCACAGCGAGGGCACCCGCAGGGCACAGCCCTTACCTGGGGCGGGGGGGTGGCGCTTCCAGGCGGGGAAAGCTGTGCCCATGGGGACATCGGTGTCACCGGCAGGGGACACGCAGCGCCCGCGGGTCAGGTCGCAGACGGTGGCGTGGGGACAGCAGTGCACCTTGTCAGCACAGCATGAGGCCTGTGGGTGCCAGCCGTGCTTGTCACAGCGGTGGCCGTGCCAGGTCCCCCCCCCAGTGTCCCCATGTCCCCACACCCTGTACCTGGGGCATGGGGCAGCACCCCCAGGCACCGCTGCTGGTCACACAACACGTGGCATCGTCGGGACACTCGGACTGGCCGTCAGGACAGGGGACAGCACGGGGGGCTGCAGAGACAGGTGACACCCCCCTGTTCATCCTGCCCCCTCCAGGCCCACCCTGCCCCCCAGCCACCCCCCGTGTCCCCATACCCAGGTCTGTGACACAGGACTGCCCGTCAGCGCTGCAGTGGGACCCTCGGGGACAGCAGCGGTGGCCCCCAGCACAAGGGACACTCTGGGGAGAGAGAAGGGGGAGGGAGAGCAGGGGGGTCAGGGAGTGTCCCACAAACAGCAGGGACGGGGGGAAACTGAGGCACAGGGGAAGGGGCTCACCTCTGGCAGCTGGCAGCTGGTGGGGCACGATGAGCCATCCTGGCATCCCATTGCACTGGGGGCAGGCAGGGCCTGGGGGGCACAGGGGGGTTACATCCCCTGCTGAGGCCCCCCCTGACTGGGCAGGCAGGGCCTGAGGGGCATAGGGGGTTACATTCGCTGCTGAGGCCCCCCCGACCCCCCCAAACCCCTCACACTCACCGGGGTGACAGGGCAGGGTCCCCCATGGGGACAGGGCAGCTGGGCCCCCGCACCGGCCAGGGCCACCCACAGCAGCAGGAGGGTCCTCATGGCTCTGGGGGCACCTGTGGGACCGCCCCCCCCCCGAACCCCGGCCTCAGTTTCCCCTTTCAGCACTCAGTTCTGCCCCCCAAATCTCACTTCTTCTTTCAGACATACGTTGGGAAAGCCCCAGCCCCACCCCCCCCTCAGCCAGCCCCCACCCCGGGGCGCTGGGGGGCACCTCAGGGTGCTGGGGGTACCCACAGACAGCGGGGGGACCCTGTGGTGTGTGGCACCCCAACCGTGCCCCGATAACATCTCCCTGCGGTGCCAGACGGGCACCCCCGCCCCCCCATCCCACAATCACTGTCACTGTCACTTCCCTTTCCCCGCTGGGGACACCTCCTGCCCCACCCAGGGCGGCCGCGGGGCTTGTGTGCCATGGGGGGGCTCGGGAGGACACTGGTGGCACTGCACCCCCACCCGGGCAGGGCTGGGCTGACCCCCGACATCCCCCAGACCCAGTGCTCCCAGTACCACCAGTACTCCAAGTGTCCCAGTACTTCCAGTGCCACCAGTGCTCCCAGTGTTCCCACTACTCTCAGTACTCCAAGTGTTCCCAGAGCTCTCAGTGTTCTCCCATTACTCTCAGTGCTCCCAGTACTCCCATGCCCCCACTGCTCTCAGTACCCCAAGTGTTCCCAGAGCTCCCAGTGCCTCCAGTGCTCTCCCAGTACCCCCAGAGCTCCCAGTACGCTCAGTGCCCCTAGCGCTCCCAGTGTTCTCCCATTACCCTCAGTGTTCCCGGTACCTCTACTGCTCCCAGTACTCCCAGTGCTTCCAGTGCACCCAGTACTCCCAGCGCTCCCAGTGCTCGCAGCACGCCTCCCATTAGGGACTCCCAGTGCTCCCAGTGCTCGCAGCACGCCTCCCAGTAGTTCTCCCATGACTCCCGGACAATCCCAGTGCTGCCCCTTGACCCTCAATGTCTCCCAGTTCCTGCCGTAACTCCCAGTTCCTCTCCCAGCACCTCCCAGTCTCCGTATGACTCCCAGTGGCCCCTGTGACTCCCAGTTCCTCCGGTGTCTCCCAGTGGCCCCCGTGACTCGCAGTTCCTCCGGTGACTCCCAGTTCCTGCTGGCAGCTCCCAGCGCTCCCAGTACCTCCCCGTCTGCCGTGCCCGTGTGTCCCAGCGCTCCCAGTACCCACCAGCGCTCCCAGTTCCCTCTCCCGGTCCTGGTAGCAAGCCCCGCCCCCCACCGCTGGCCGCAAGCCACGCCCCCGGTCGACCATTGGCCGTCCGCCGAGCCTGCCGCGCTGCCATTGGCCAGCCAGGGGTGAGGGGGCGGGCACAGCGGCCGCCTCACCCCTGTCACGTGACGGACGGTCACGTGGCCGCACCCCCCACACTCCCCCCAGGGCTGAGGGCGGCGAGAGCGGGGGGGGGGGGTTGGGGCACAGGGAGCCCTCAGAGACTGAGGGGGAGCACAACAGAGCGCCCTGCCCGGGGCACGGGGCGCCCTCAGACCGCCCTGACTGACGGGGAACACAACAGACCGCCCTGCTCGGGGGGAGACCCCTCAGACCGCCCTGCCGGGGGCACAAGGAGCCGTCAGACCGCCCTGCCCGAGGGGGGACACAACAGACCGCCCTGCCCGGGGTACAGATCCCTCAGACTGTCCTGCCCGGGGCACAGAGAGCCCTCAGACCTCCCTGTCGGAGGGAGAGACACAACAGACCGCTCTGCCCGGGACACAGGGAGCCCTCAGACCGCCCTGTCTGGGGCACAGCGAGCCCACAAACCGCGCTGACTGAGGGGAGACACAACAGACCGCTCTGTCCGGGGCACAGCGAGCCCTGCCTGGGGCACAGGGAGCCCTGCCCGGGGTACGGGGGAGCCCTCAGACCGCCCTGCCCGGGGCACGCGGAGCCCTCAGACTGCCCTGCCGGGGCAGACGGAGCCCTCAGACCGCACTGCTCGGGGCACAGGGGGCCCTGCCCAGGGCACACAGACTCCACAGACCCCCCTGCCCGGGACAGGGATCCCTCTGTCGGCCTTGAGCCTTGAGCCCCCCTGTGCGGCTCCGGGCCCCCTCCCCCCGGCACAGACCCTGCCTCAGGGCACAGACCCTCATCAGGGGCACAGACCCCATCAGGGGCACAGAGCCCCTTCTCAGGGGCACAGATGCCCCTGCCTGGCTCTCAGGGTTTCGCCCCTTGGAGCCCTCCAGGCCTTGCTCCCAGGGCAGGCAGTACCCCCAGACCCCCCCAATCCCCCAAATTCTCCCCATTCCCCAGAAACTTCCACCAGCCCCCAGAGTCCCCTCCAGTCCTCCCCAATCTCCTCGACCCTCCCAAAACTCCAATCTTTGCCCCCAGCTCTCCCATCCTCCCTGCCAATGCCCACAGGAGCCCCTAAATCCTCTCCAAATCCCCTCCAACCCCCTGTGTCCCAAAGATCACTTCAACCTCTCCAACCCTTCCCAAAACTTCCTTCTCCAAGCCTGTCCCACCGCCCTCCAAGCTCCCCTAAATCCCCTCCAATGCCAACGCCCCTCCAAAACCCCTCCACCTCCCCAAACCCCTCTTCCAACCCACCCCAAACATTCCCAAACTCCCATTTCCCCTCCTACACCAACTCCCTCATTCTCCCCCAACTCCCCCAAATCACTCCCTGACCTCCCCAATCCCAGGAAATTCACACCAAACCTCTTCCAATCACTCCAACACCCCCTAAACTCCCTTTAAAACCCCTTCAACTTCTTCAACTCCCTCCAAACCCTCCCTAAACCCCAAAACCTCCCCTTCCAACACCCCAAATCCCCTGCAAACCCCCAAAACATCTCCGATCTTCCAAATCCCTTTCAGCCCATGCCAACCTCCCTCCACATTCCCTTCCCAGTCCCCCCAGCCTCTCCCTGGACCCCCAACCCCTCCAAATTCTACTCCAACACCCTGAAATCCTCTCCATAACCCTCAGTCCCCCTCCAAACTCCCTCCTAAGCCCCCCAAAATTATCTCTAGACTCCCAACCCCAACAAATCTGCCTTCAACCCTCAAAACCACCTCCAGCCTTCCCAACCCCTTCAAACCCAGCCACACTTCTTTCCAAGTCCCCCAAACCCTCCCCAAATCCCCTCTAACTCCCCCAAACCACCTCCAACCTTCCAAATCCTTTAAAGTCCCCTTCCAAGTCCCTCAACCCCTCTCTACACCCCCCAACCCCTCCAAATTTCACTCCAATACCCTGAAATCCCCTCTAAACCCCTCAAACCCCCTCCACCCTCACTCTCTAGGCCCCCAACCCCTCTAAATCCACCTCCAACCCCACAAAATCCCCTCTAAACCCCTCAACCTCCCAAGCCCCCCAACCCCACAAAATCCCCTCCAAACCCCTCTACAGTCCCTCCCCAACCCCTCCCTAAATCCCCAACCTCCCCTTCAACACCCCCGTTTTGCCCCCAGACCCCTCTCCATGCAGACACCACATCACCAGCCCATCCCAGAGCCGCCGTGCGGGATTGGGGGCACACGGGGCCTTTATTGGGGTCCAATGGCCTTTACTGGGGTCTGATTGCCTTCATTGGGGTCAGATGGCCTTTATTTGGGTCCGATGCCTTTTATTTGGGTCCGATGGCTTTTATTGGGGTCAGATGGCCTTTATTGGGTTCAGACAGCCTTTACTGGGGTCAGATGGCCTTTACTGGGGACAGATGGCCTTTATTAGGGACAGATGGCCTTTATTGGGGTCCAATGGCCTTTTTTGGGGACAAATGGCCTTTACTGGGGTCAGATGGCCTTTACTGGGGACAGATGGCCTTTATTAGGGACAGATGGCCTTTATTGGGGTCCAATGGCCTTTTTTGGGGACCGCTGGCCTTTATTGGGATCCGATGGCCTTCACTGGGGACAGATGGCCTTTATTGGGATCTGATTGCCTTCATTGGGGTCAGATGGCCTTTATTGGGGACAGATGGCATTTTTTGGGGTCCGATGGCCTTTACTGGGGTCCAATGGCCTTTACTGGGATCCGATGGCCTTCATTAGGGTCAGATGGCCGACTGCTCCTGGCGGGGCGGCTCTCCGGGGGCCGGTGGCCGCTCGGGCTCGGTGGCCATGGCGGCCTGGCGCAGCACGGCCATGTGCTCCTCGGCGGCCGCCAGCGAGCGCTCGACCCAATGGCGAGCGGCCGGCTGGCGACAGGCGCTGCGGGTCACCAGCACCAGGTGACTGACGGACAGCAGCAGCGCCGTGGCCCTGCGGGGACACGGGGCTGTCACCACCCTGTCAATGCCCTGTTACCTCCCTGTCACTGCCCCGTCACCGCCCTGTCCCATGGGGCTTCCTCAGCAACAGCAGCGTGGTCACCACTTTGATTGTGGTGATCAGGACCCTCAGGGAATGGCCTGAGGTTGTGTCACAGAGGGGCTGGGATGGATTTCAGGGAAAGGTTCTTCCCCCAGAGGTGCTGGCACTGCCCAGGCTCCCCAGAAAATGGTCCCAGAGCTCCAGGAGGGTTTGGACAGCGCCGCCAGGGACGCCCAGGGTGGGAGTGTTGGGGGGTCTGGGCAGGGCTGGGGGTGGGATTGGATGAGTCTTGGGGTCCCTTCCAACCTGGGATATTCTGGGATCTGCTCAGTCCCCATCCTGCTGGGTCACCTGGGTTTGTCACCAGAGTGGGGTTGTCCCCAGAGGTGTGGTATGGGATTGGGGGGTGTTCCCACCCACAGGTATCCCCCACCCAGGAGTGTCCCTGTCCTTCCCACCGCTGTCACCTTGCGTCCAGCAGTTTGGGGTCCAGCGGGGGGTACATGGATCTCACCACGTCGTCCACCCTGCGGTGGGGACAGCGTTAACCCCAGGGACACTGTGGCGACACCTCCAGCACACCCATCCCAGGCATCAAGAGCCCTCTTGGAGTTCTGGGACCCCCCTAGAGCCCCAGGTACCCCCAGAACCCCAGGAACCTCCTGAACCCCAGGTACCCCCTGAACCCCAGGACTCCTCCCAGAGTCCCAAAATTACCCTAGTGCCCTGGGACACCTCCCAGAGTCCCCAGACACCCCTAAAGTCCCCACGTTCTCCTCCAGAGTCCCCAGGGTCCCCCTCAGTGCCTCAGGACTGCCCCCAGAGCCCCAGGACATCCCCAGAGCCTCCATGACCCCTCCAGACCCACCCTGTCCCAAATCTCTGGGGACCCTCCACTGGAATTTTCCTCCCCAGTCCCTGGGGACACCCCAGAGCCACAGGACCCCACCCAAGAGCCCTGGAACCGCCCAGACATCCCCTGTCACCTGGGGCTGATGCGCTTGGCCACCACGATGATGTCACCCAGGCTGGCTGGGGACTTCACACGTGCACCTGAGCCCATGGTCATGGCCACCAACTTCTCTGTCAGCGTGTGACATATCTGGGGGGCAGTGGTGGGCACTCAGCACCACCATCAGCACCAGTGCCACAAGTGCCACATACCATCAGCACCAGTGCCACCAGTACCAACAATGTCACCATTGCCACCATTACCACAAGTGCAGCCCACCATTGACATCAATGTCAGAAGTGCCACTGGTGTCACCACTGCCTACCAGTACCACAGCTCTACCAGTACCACCAGAGCTGCCATTGCCACGAGTGTCACCACTGCCACCAGTGCCACGCTCTCACTCACCTTCAGGATGGCGATGCAGTGGGACACCAGACCCCTGTGGAGAGGGAGGAGAGTGTGAATCCACCTGTGTCCCCCCTGCTCTGTCCTTGTCCCCTGTGTGTCCCTCCTCTCCTGCCAGCCCATGTCCCCCAGACCTGTGGGGATATTCCCACCCCAAGACCATCTTGAGGACCATCCCCATGGCTTGGTGACCTCCAGATCTGTCCCCTGCATCCCATGATGGGGGGCTGGCACTGCACAGGGGTTCCCAGCAGTGGGGGGACACAGGGGACACTCACGAGGCGTCCTCGACCCAGTCCTCATTCTCCAGGATGGCCTCTATGTGGGGGTTGGTGATGACCACGTCGTCCAGCTCCAGCTCCGAGGGCTCTGACGGCGTCTCCGTGGTCCCCATCAGGTCCACGATGGGTCTGTCAGAGACATGGGGGACATCCCACCAAGGGCCACCTTCTCGGGTGGCCCCATAGCCCCAATAGCCCTGGTGCTGGTGGACGTGTCCCCATCTTTGTCCCCCGGTGATGTGGATATGTCCCAAACTGCAACAAGATGGGGGCATCTTCCCTCTGATGATGCTGGACATCGTCTGCATCATCCCTCTGGTCACAGTGCATGTGTCCCCATCTTTGTTCCCTGGATGATGGGGACATGTCCCCAACTTCATCCCTTTGATGATGCTGGACATCGCCTGCATCATCCCCCCAATCACAGTGGACGTGTCCCCATCTTTGTTCCCTGGATGATGGGGACATGTCCCCATCTTTGTCCACATGGTGATGTGGATATGCCCCCAACTTCTTCCCTCTGATGATGCCGGACATCACCTGCATCATCCCTCTGGTCACAGTGGACATGTCCCCGTCTTTGTTCCCTAGATGATGTTGGACATGTCCCCATCTTCATCCCTTTGATGATGGCCAATGTGTCCCCATCTCTGTCCCCCTGCTGATGGCGGGTGTGTTCCCATCTTTGTCCTCCCAATGACCATGGACATGTCCCCCACATTGTCTCCTTGATGATGCTGAACATGTCCCCGGCACTGTCCCCATCCCACGGGGGTTGGGGTCCCTCCCTGGTGGGGACAGGGATGCTGCCACCCCCATGGGTCACTCACTTGGTGTCATAGTGGTGGCGCAGGTCCTTGGGGTGACAGTAGCGCTGCCTGCACACCACCACCAGCGCCACGAAGGACGCCAGGAAGATGGTGGCCAGCACCCCGATGGCCACGATGACAACGGTCTCCATGGCTTGTCCCTGCCACAGGGGCTCAGGCGTCCGGGGCCATCACAGCACGCTGGGGGCTGCAGTGACAGGGACACTGGGAACTGGAACCCCACAGATGTTCTCCTGTTCACCCCACACCGCAAAATGCCCAGCCAGGACCTGGTGTCACCCCAGATTGTCACCCCTCTGTCCCCAAGGTCTTTCTAGAGGCAGTGTCACTTGGGGGATACGGTGACTCTGGGTGTGGGATGCAGCAGGATTTGGGGGCTGCCCTCATCCCGTCACCATGGCCATGGGGACAGAGGGGGACAGGGTCTGGGGTGAGGAGAGCAAGGCCTTGGCCATAGGGGGGTGTGGGGACCCCCAGAGTGTGTCCTTCTGGAGACCCCCACCCACAGCCATGTCCCTATGGGGACATGGAGACCCCCCAGAGCCTGACCCTGATGGGGACCCCAAGAGCCCTTTCCTATGGGGCCATGGTGACCCCAGAGGCTGATCCCTATAGAGACCCCAGAGTTCCTGTCCCTATGGGGCCACAGGGACCCCCAGAGCCCCCAGTCCTGATTCCTATGGGGTCATGTGGACCTCCAGAGCCCCCTTTCCATGGGGATCCCCCAAATCTGTGCCACGGGGACCCCGGAGCCAGCCGTGCTGCAGTAGCAGGGCCTGTGTGTCCTGTCCCCATGTTCAGCAGGACACCAGCCATGCCAGGCCCAGGGGACCTTGTGTCCCCTCCTGGACAGACTGGGAGTCCCTGTGGCGTTCCCACCCTGCAGGGACCCCCTCCCCATGCCCACCCTGCCCTCCCTACCTGCTCCAGCCGGGTGGCACCGCCGGGCGGGACACGGGGACACGCGGGGACGGTGCCACTTCCGTGCCGGGTGTGCAAACACGGCCACATCGACCTTCGCCCCCTGACTCATACCTGGGCCCCCCACGGACGGGGAGTGCGGGATGGGCCCCCAAAACCCTCCGGCCCCACTGCTTCCCCCCTCCCCTCACCCTCTTTTTCTTTCCCCCCTAAATCCCGCTGAATTTTAAGCCAGGTTTAGGGATTTGGCTTAAATTTCCAGCCCGGCTGCAGTTGTCACTGCAACCCCACAGGGTTGGGGACAGTGAGGGGGGGACAGGGTGCTCCCCCCACCCCCCTCCGCCACTTTCTCACTGCGATTAAAGCCTTAAGAGGGATTTTGGCTGCCAAAGCTGCTTTTGCTGTAACCCCCTGGTGCCTGGTCCTGGGGAAGGCACAGCCCCGGGGGTGTCCCCAGGCCCCCCAAAGTGTCCCCAGCGCCACCCGCAGCCCCAGGGGATGTCACTGTCCCTGCTGGGCTGGGGTCGGACCCTACCGGGCAGCACCAGGGAAGGTGGGAAGGGGAAAGGGAGAGTCTGGGGGGGCACTGGGAGAGGGGTTGGGGGGTTCTGGGATGGGGGGACTCTGCTGGGGGGTTTGGGGGGTTCTGGAACTGGGGGGACGCTGCTGGGGGGGTCCTGGGAGTGGGGGGGCTGCTGCTGGGGAGTGTCCGGAGAGTCCCTGTGAGTGACTGGGGGGTGTGCGGGGGTCGCTGCTGGAGGGGGGGACCCGGAGGTGTTTGTCTCGGGGGGGGGCGCTGCTGGCGGTTCCCGGTCCCTCACAGTCCCGGTTACCGGGGGGTCACGGGGTTGAAGGGGTCCCTCCTGGCCCTGGGGGTCCCTCCGGGGTCCCAGAGGTGGGGGTGAGGGTCTCTGGGGGGTCCCGACACTGCTCTATGGGAGGGATCGCTCCCAGGGGTCCCCTACAGCGTCTGGGGTCCGTGGGGGGTTGGGGGATGCCTGGGGGGGTCCCGGGTGGGAGATCCCCTCCCAGCTCCCTCGGCGGGTCCCTGCGACCCTCCCGGGTCCCCCCAATCCCTCCCGGACCCCCGCACCTGGAGCGGCGCCGCGGCGGCCGCGAACAAGATGGAGCCGGGCGGGGGGCGCGGAGCGGGGCCGGGAGCGGGGAGGGAGCGGGGTGGGATCGGAATGGGAGCGGGGTGGGAGCGGGGATCGGCCGGGCTCTGCCCTCAGCACCGCCTCCCTCCGGCCCCGAGAGTCCCCTGCGCCTCCCAAAGTTCTCAAGTGCGTCCCATGCATCCAAAAGTGTCCCAAAATGTCCTAAAGCACTCCCACTGCGCTCCTGAAGAATCCCCTCTTGTCACAAAGTACTTCCTTCTGCTCCAAGGTGGCTCCGGTGCGTCCCAAAGTGGCTCCGTTCTCTCCCAAAGTGCTCCTGCTGCACCCTCGAAGCATTGTCTTGTCCCCCTTGTGCCCCCAAATTCCCCCCCTGCATTCCACACAGTCCCTTCCCTGTCCCCAGTTGTGTCCCCTTGTGTCCCAGTTGCATCCCAAATTGTCCCCATTGTGTCCCAAACCACTGTCCCAGCACTCGTGAGCAGGTTTTCCTTTGTGTCCTGAAAATCCTTGTGCCCCAAAATGACCCCACTGCACCCCAAAATGTCTCTGTCTTGTCCCAAAGTTGTCCCCACTGCCATCCAGCTTGGCCCCATTACATCCCCACCACACCCCAAAGTGCCCTTTGTTGTGTCCCCAAGTGTTCCCTCTGCACCCCAGCCATCCCTGTGTCCCCAAATGCTGCCATGTGCTGTCCTTGCTGTGTGTCACAGCACAGACATGTGTCCCATGTCCCCACTCCTCCTCCTCGTGTCCCTGCCATGCCCTTTATTGTCCCCACGATGTCCCATAGCACTTTCAGTCATGTCCCTGCCATACCCTTTATTGTCCCCATGATGTCCCAAAGCACTTTCAGTCATGTCCCTTGCCATCCTTTTTGTGTCCCATCCAGTCCTGGTTGTGTCCCAGCTCATCACCATCATGACCCAAAGTGCCCCCACCCCAGGAGGTGGCTCTGGGTGATGGGAACTCATGTCCCATGACTGCGTGACTCTCATCACGTCTCGCAGTCTGTGGTGACATTGGTGGTGACACAGTGCTTGGTGACACCAGCCAGGAATGGTGTCCCAGGTCCCCTCATCCTCATGGGGTACAAAGACCATGTGGTGTCCCTGAGGGTCACCAGCAACCAAGGAGCACCGAGCCCTTGTGCCACCCACGTCCCTGGGATGTCCCCTTGTCCTGCCAGCAACACCTGACCCCTGGGATGTCCCCTTGTTCTGCCAGCCACACCTGACCCCTGTGTCTGCATGGGCTCTTTATTTGGGATGGGGCAGGGGCTGCAGCCACGGCCCTGCCCGGCCCCTCCCTGCCCACCCGCCGGTGCCACCGGTGCCCAGCAGGCCCTGCCCGCCGGACCCTCCCTGCTCCACCCAGCTCCAGGGGGGCACTGCAGGGCTCCACTGACCATGGGGACCCCCAGAGCCCCCCTCACATCCAGCCCCAGTGGGATGGGGTGGCCAAGGAGGATCCCCTCAGGTGCCCCTCCCTTGAGCCGGGTCACTGCGCTGCCCTCCATGAAGCCACCACCGAGGTGACACGTGGCCAAGTCCTTCCTGGAGACGCTGCTCCATCAAGTCCCCACTGCCAGGCTCGTGCCTGCACGTGTCCCCAGGGTTTATCCATCAGGGAAGATGTATCCATAGTGGTTGAGGATGTGCTCCACCACCTGGTTCTGGAAGACCATGTGCATGGCCATGTTGCTCTCCTCGCTGGCCGGCCGCAGCAGCGTGGGGCCGAAGACGATGGCGACGCTCTGCACCGACATGCGGTTCTCCTCCTTGTGCTCCACCACCCTGTGGGACAGGGTATGTGTCACCAGCATGGCCCTGACCCTGGGGCTGTCCCCAGAGTCGTGTTCTGCCTTCCTGCACCGGGTTGGGTTTGGGGGAACAAGGGGGGGGTCACCTGCAGAGGTGGCGGAAAAGGACCTTCATGGTGTCATGGTGGGCGGGTGGCAGGGACAGCACCAGGTCCCGGATGCATTGGCCCCGCAGGGACAGGTCCTGGATCTCTGCCAGGGAGGGAGGGCACGGTGGGGCGCTGGCTCCAGCAGTCACAGCATCCCTGTCCCCACCTCCATTCCCATCCTCATCCCATCCTAATCCCCATCAACCCCCCTGTCCCAGTTCCTGTCTCCATTCCCATCCCTTTTCTATCTCATTCCTGTTCCCAACCCCATCTTTTTACCCTTCTCCATCCCATCTCTATTCAATCCCATTTCCCATCCATGTCTCCATCTCATCCCATTTCAACCCGATCCTTGTCCCCATCCTATACCTATCCCCACCCCCTCCCCATGTCATCATCCCACCCCATCCCATCCCATCCCATCCCATCCCATCCCATCCCATCCCACCCCATCCCATCCCATCCCATCCCATCCCACCCCATCCCACCCCATCCCATCCCATCCCATCCCATCCCATCCCATCCCCTGTCCCTGTCCCTCACTGATGGCAGCGATGAACTTGTCGAAGTGGCTGAAGGGTACGAGTGGCTCTGGCAGCTCCCGCAGGAAGAGCTTCAGTGCCCCGGTGACAACGTGGATGTCCTCCCAGCGCCCGTCATCCAGGTCCAGCTGCTCGTCTGGGGGTGGAGCAGCATCTCAGCTGTGCCCAGAGCCCCAGGGATGGCTGGGTGGTCCCTGGCTGCCCCCTCCCCTGTCCCTCTGCCCCATTGTCCCCCACTGTCACCGCGGGTGACCGTACCATGCTCCACCTTGTAGCGCAGCTTCTGGATGGTGGCCAGGTTGCCGCTGACCCGGTACAGCCCATCAATGTCCAGACCTGGGCAGATGGAGATGGGGGAAAGCTTCCAGTTAAACAATCCACACTGGGATGGGACATGAGGCACTCTTGAGGGAACTCTGGGTCCCCCTCTGTCCCTGCTGTCCCCTGGAGGGTGCCCACAGCCAGGTGGCACATGGTGACAGTGACCAGTACAGCTGCGTTGGTGCCCACAGCAGCCGCACCAGGCTTCCAAGGAAAACCCAAACATCCCACATAGGCTGTCCCTGGATCTGTCCCCATGTCCCCATGCCGGTGTCCCAGGCTGTTCCCGTCCCCTGTACCTCTCCTCTCCACGGTCCAGATGCACTGCAGGACAAAGCGCGGCACCGTCCCTCGCTCCCGCTCGCACAGTGCCAGCAGCGAGCAGCCAAAAACCTGGTCTGGGAACACAGCAGGGACATGAGCATGGCCAGGGGACACCAGGAGGGTGGCTAGTGGGGGACAGGGTTGGGGACAGAGGGACTTGTTCCCACCAGGGTGGCTGGAGGTGATGGGACATCATCAAGGTGTTGGGTCAGGTTTGGGCTTGGTCACTCAACCCAGTGTCCCAGCTCCATCCCTGGCTGTCCCAGCTCCCCCCTTGGCCATCCCAGCTCCATCTCTGGCTGTCCCAGCTCCCCCCTTGGCCATCCCAGCTCCATCTCTGGCTGTCCCAGCTCCATCCTTGGCTGTCCCCTCCCACCCTCCACCCTGCAGACATCCCGAGGGACTCAGCCCCATTCCAGCACCCATCCTTGACAGGCCCTATCCCTACACCCCATCTCACTCTGGATTTGCCCTCATCCCAGCCCCGTGCCAGCACCCCCCGATCCCGCCCCGCACACCCACCCTTGATGTAGCCCCTCTCCCGCAGGGACTGCATCGTCGGCCGCCTCTGCAGGAACTTGCGGAGTTTGTTCCGGACCCGGTTGGTGTCACTCTCGGCACTGCCCGTCGCCTGTCCTGCCGCTGCCGGGGACATGGGACACATCAGCATCGTGCCCAGGGTCCCCGCAGGGGGGGTGGCACTGCCAGCCCCCCCGTGCCCATCCCGGGCGCTCACCTGCCCTCCGCTCCTCGCCGCCCCCCAGCTTCTCCCGGGAGCCGAACTCAGCCCGAATTTCGGCCTCGTCCTCTGCGGAGATGTCGGAGCCCTAGGGAAGCGGCACCGTGAGACGCCGTGCCCGGCCCCAGGGTGGCCATGGGGGATCGGGGGCCCCGCTCACCCTGCGGCCGATGCTGTCGGCGATGGCCTTGTGCCAGGCGGTGATGATCTGCTCCGAGTCGTGCTGGATGAGGAATTCCGAGCCCTCCCGCGTCCTCAGCTGCCGGAGCGACAGACAGAGGTCAGGGAAAGGGCACGGGGCTGCCGCAACCGGGCGGATTTAGGAACCAGGATGTGGCTGAGCCCGGCGCCAGCTGCGATGGCACCAAACGGTGCCGTCTGCGGGGAGCTGGAGCGGCTGGAGCAGCTCCTTCCCGTGCAAAGCCCCTCTGGGAGCCAGGATGTCCCTTGGTGGCCTCACTGTCCCCATCAGAACGGGACAGTGACCGGCAGAACGGGACATCCTGGCAGTGCCCCTCTGGGAGCCAGGATGTCCCTTGGTGGCCTCATCGTGCCCATCAGAACGGGACAGTGACGGGCAGTGCCAGTCCCTGCACGCCCACCCTGGCATGTCCCCAGTGTCCCCACTGGCATCCCCTGAACTGGGCAGGAGTGGCATTGCCCTGTGGGCCGTGTGTGGACCCTGGGGTGTGATCAGTGTCCCTCCTGCTGTCACCTGCTCACCTCCAGGACGTTCTTCTTGCTGGACTTGTCCCTGCCGGCCCAGGTGAGGGTGGCCCCGCGCAGCTTCACTGTGTGCTCGGGGGTGGTCAGGGTGCTGGGGTGCCTCTGTGGGGACAAGGGGATGAGGGTGGCACCTGCCCACAGGGGACAGAGACACCGGGATGCTGCTGGGGGGTGTGGGCTGCCCTCCTCCAGAACAGGCAAGGCTGCCAGATGTCCTTTGTGGGACCCCTCTGTCCCCTCCTGTGGTCTCTGCAGGACTAGGACATGGGTGGGGTGAGGGTCATGGCCACCAGCTTGGGGACAGCCAGTCCTAGGGCTGCCATCACCTGGAGGGACATTCCCAGCCCTCTGCAGAGACCCTAGTGGGCCTCCAGCTTTGGGGTCCCTCTCAGTGACACTGCAGGAATGGAGAGGGTGGCTGCCCACAAGGAGGGGGATTTTGCAGGGGAAGAGCATCAAGCTCACTGCTTCTCCCCAAGCTCTGGGTTTTGGGGTGCTTTGGCCACCAAGAGCCTCTGCACCTCCAGCCAGGGCCCTGAACCCCCGAGGTGGGGCCAGCACTGTCTCCCCAGCTGTGGGTGCCCTGTCTTCCCCCCCCTTCGCTGTCACCACAGGGTGTTGCAAGAGCCACGGCAACTTCTGCACTTCTGCATCCGGACCTGGGCACTGCGGGGGGAGCAGCTGGACCCGGGGGCCAGCTCTGCTTCCTCCTGCTGGCTCCCACCAGCCCCAGGTGCTCCGACACTGCCACCCCTGCAGGGAGTGAGGGTGTGCTGGGGGGTGAGCTGGGGTCCCTGTGCTGGGGGGTGAGCTGGGGTCCCTGTGCAGGGCACCTGCCCTGCGGGTCCTGGTCTCATCCTTCAAGTGCTGATATCCCCCACAGTGCTGGGGGTCTTATTTATTGGATGCTGGTTCTGTCCCCTGCATGGTGGCCTCAACCTATGGGTGCTGATCCCATCCTGCAGCTTCGACCCCATCTTGTGGATCCTTGCCCTGTTCTAAGGATGCTGATCCTATCCTGTGGATGCTGGCTCCATTCTGTGGGTGCTGGTCCTATCCTGCTGATGCTGGCTCCATTCTGTGGGTGCTGGCCATGGTCCCCCTGCCCCAAGAGCCTCTGCACCCCCTAGACAGAGCCCTGAACCCCCACCCCAAAGGTGAGGCCAGCTCCATGTTCCCTGTGGGTGCTGCCCCTATCCTGCACACATTGGCCACATCCTGCAAGTCCTTGTCCTGTCCCATGGGTGCTGGCCCTTTCCCATGGGTGCTGGCCCTGTCCCATGGGTGCTGGCCCTGTCCCTTGGGTGCTGGCCTGTCCCATGGATGCTGACCCTGTCCCATGGGAGCTGCCCTGCCCCAAGGCCACTGGGCTCTTACCAAGGCACTGGCAGCTGAGTGCTTGGAGTCCTTGAAGAAGGTGAGGATTCCCCCTTCCAGCACTGTCCAGGAGGAGCTCCAGTTCTTCCTGGGGAGGGGAGCAGGGGTCACACAGGGATAGCACAGCCCTTTTCCCTGCTGGACTCGTGTCTCCAGTGCCAGGGGACACCGGGGTGTCCTTACCGGAGCCGCTTCCCTCTGTCCACTGTCTTGGTCCTGTTGAGCACCCCGGCTTTTTCGAGGCTTTTAAACTAGAAAGTGAAGATGGGGGGTGTCAAATTTGGCCCTTGCTCTGCCTGGTGCTGGGGTGAGGGCAGGCTGGGTGCCCCTTCCTGGGTGCTCACCTTCTCCTCCCTGCTGCCTGGGGCTGGTGACACGGGGCTGTGCCAGGCGGAGAGCCCGCTGTCCTGGCTGGAGCCGCTGCTGGCCCGCTCGTGGCGGGACGGCACCTGGGCGAGGAGGCGTCAGGTGAAGCCCATGGCATGCCATGGCACCCCAGGGCCCCTGCAGGCCCTGCTCTGTGGGCTTTGAGGATGTTTATCCCTGGCAGTCACCCCTGTCTGCATCTGTCCCTGTCCCCAGTTCTGTCCCTGTCCTTGTGCATAACCCATCCCTATCCTCATCACAGTTCCTATCCCTGTGTTCATCCCTCTTCCATTTCCTGTCCCTGTCCCCATCCCTATCCCCATCCCAACCCCGTCCCAGTCCCTGTTCCCATCCCTGTCCTGTACCGTGTCAGGGGCGAAGTGCTCGGGGTAGAACACGAGTCCCTCGGGGTGGCTGTGCCCGTACCAGCCTGGGGATGAGCCCAGCTCCTCGGGGCGCCTCGGGGACAGGCACAGAGAGGCCCTCTGGTCATAGGAGCCCACAGGTGAATAGTCCTCCTCAGGATAACACTCCAGCTCATCTGGAGACAGGTCTGGATAATCTGTTTCTGGAGTGGGTGGCTGGAGAGAAGAGGAAGTTCAAGATCTTGAGCCCAACCAAGAGATCTCCATCTCTGCGTGTCGCCCAGGTGAGCACTGCCCCATCTCCATCATCTCCATTCCCATCTCTGTCTCCATTCCCATCTCCATCTCAATCCCTGTCTCCATCTCCATTTCCATTCCTGTTTCTATCTCCAACTCAATCCTGGTATCCATTCTGTTCTCCATTTTCATCTTCATCTTCATTCCCATCTCTGTCTCCCATCTCCAACTTCCTCCCCATCTCCATCTCCATCCCATCCCTGTTTCCATCTCCAGTCCCCTCCCTTTCTACATTCCTGTATCTGTTCCCATCTCCATCTTTGTTTCCATATTCATCTCCATTTCATCTCCCATCCTTTCTCAATCTTCAGCTCTGCCTCCATTTTCATCCCATTGCTGTTTCCATCTGCACTCTCATCCTTTCCTACACCCCTGTATCCATATCCATGTCCATCTGCACCTGTCATCTCCATTCCCATCTGTCTCAGTTTCCATCTCCATCTCAATCTCCATCTCCATTGCATCTCCCACACCTTTCTCAATCCCAATCTGTCTCCATTTTCCTCCCATCCCTTTTTCATCTCCATTCCCATCTGTCTCTATCTGTTTCTGTCTCCATCTCCATCATCATCTCCATCGCATCTCCCACACCTTTCTCAATCCCACTCTCCGTTTCTGTCTTCTTTTTCATCCCATCCCCGCCAGGATGCCAGGATTTCCATCTCCATTCCTATTCATGTCTCCAATCCCATCCCTGTCTTCAATCCCATCCCATTTCCATCTCCAATCCCATCCCTTTTCCATCTCCAATCCCATCCCCATCTCCATTCCCATCCCTGTCTCATTCCCATCCATGTCTCCAATCTCATCCCTGTCCCCACTCCCATCCCTGTCTCCAATCTAATCCCATCCCTATCTCCATTCCCATCCCTTTTCTATCTCCACTCCCATGCATGTCTCCATTCTCATTTCCATCTCCAATCCCATCCCTGTCTCCACTCCCATCCCATTTCCATCTCCAATCCTGTCCTTGTCTCCATTTCCACCCCTGTCTCATTCCTATTCCTGTCTCCAATCCCATCCCTGTTTCCATTCTCATTTCCATCTCCACTCCCATCCCTTTTCCATCTCCAATCCCTTTTTCATCCCCACTCCCACCCCAAGCCCTCCTCGCGCCTCGCCGGGTGCTCACCCTCTGCTCCATGGGACCGTACCGCGTCCCCCCAGGGAGCCTCTCCCGGGGGCTGCCCGTGTCTCCTGCGCTGGGGGGGTCCCACGACGTCTCACCTGTCACCGAATTATAGAAAAAAGTCTGTCCGCTTCCTTGGTCCACGTGCTGTTCCCACGCGGGAAGCTCCGGGCTGTGTGCGAGCGAGGAGGCGGGAGAGGCGCCGGCACTCACTCCGTCGGCCGCCTGCCCGAAGGGACAATCCCACGTGGTCTCGCCCGTCACGGGGTTGTAATAAAACAAATGTCCACTGTCCGTGTCCGTGTGGGTTTCCCAGTCCGACACGGAGCTGCTGGGCTCCTCTGGGGCCGAGCTGGCGGCGGCCTCTGCCCGCAGCTCCTGGATGTTGAGGTAGATGGGATCAGGTGTCTCCTCTGACTCCGTGCGTGCCTGGGGGAACACGGATGTGTCACTGCTGAGCTGGGATGGCACTCCTGGGATGGCATTCCTGGGATGGCATTCCTAGGGTGTCCCCACTGTGGTGTCCGGGTGGCCGATGGGTGAGGCACTGAGGGGTCGGATCCTGTCCTGGCTGCTGGGTCACCAGAAGTGACCTGGGCCCCCAAAAGTGTGGGGCAGGAGGTGCCAGTGATGGGAGGCCAGGAGGTGAAGAGGGGCACCCACAGCACCCAGAGTGGGGCAGAGAGCACCCACTGGCACAGGGAGGGACACTGAGGTCCAGCACATGTGTCACCTGCTGCTGGCAGCACCCTCACAACCAGCACCATGTCACTGGTACCTGCACGACCCACTGTGTGCAGCACTGCAGCAGCACTGCAGCACTGGCACCGGTGTCACTGCATCATCAGTACCTGCATCATCAGCACCCACATCACTGGCACCCACATCACTGGCACCCATGTCACCCACATCATCAACAACTGTGTCCCTGGTACCTACTCATGCAGCACCTGTGTGACTTGTACCTGCATCATCCACACCTGCATCCCTGGTACCTGCACCACCCCCTGGATTCAGCACCCCCATCACTGGTACCTGCACCACCTGCTCTCCGCAGCAGCCACAGAACTGACACCCAAACCATGAACACCCACAATCTCTGCACTGACACCTGCGGTCCCAACACCTCCAACCTGCTCATCCTCTGCACCCCCAGCGTCTGTGCCCACCCCTCTGGTGGGCACCCCAACACTCACACCCATCTCACCCACGCTTGCACCCCAGCGCTCATCACCTGCACCCTGGGACATTTCCAGCACCCACAGCCCCGGCCTCCCGCCCAGAGCCGGATGCTGAACCAGACAGTCCCATCACCACATCCCAAAATAGCGCCCCCAGCACCAGCCGGGCTGACCCCTCCCGTGGGGACGCTGGGGTAAGGGGGATGTGTCCCCTGGGACCGGGAGGGTGCTGCCAGCAGGGAACCCCCTCCTGTCACCCTTTGATCTCATCAGCTTTACAGCCTGAGTCTGTCACTAATGGCTGTGGGGACAAAGGTCCCGACTGCAGCCAGCCCTGCCCATCACCCCGAGGGAGGTGACAGTCGGTGCACTGTCCTTGGGGACACCCTGGATCAGAGTGGGACAGCAGCTCCATGACACCCCTCATCCTCCCCCCATCACCCCCCAAACCCCCCACCCTGGTGAGCAGGGCCAGAAACTACTGGGGGTCTGCCCTCCTCCTGGGGACAAGGGACATGGGGGTGGCAATGGGGCATCCCTGGCACTGAGCCCCCCCAGCACCTCTCTGTCCCCTGTGGGGGCATCCCTGGGGGTTTCTCACCCCGGGGGGGGCTGAGTGCCCCCTCCCCACTTTGGGATGGGCACTGTGGCACCCTCCAGCACCCACAAACCCCCAGGGAAAGCCGAGGGGGTGCCTGGCAAGGGGTGACCCCAAAACACCCCCTGTCCCCTGCTGGGAGCACCCTTGGGTGCTACCTACCTTCCCCAGGTGCAGCATCTGCCGTGCCCTGCTCCAGGCCTGCCGTGACCCCCCTGGTGCCCGGTCACCCATGGTGGTGACACCGGGGTGGGGACCCCGTGGGGACAGCGTGGGGACAGCGTGAGGCCTCGGTCCCGCCGCTGGCGCCCTGAGCAGGGCCCTGCACCCACCGCGCTTCCTGCCGGGGCTCCAGGAGCGGAAGAGACGCCCAGGGCGGAACCGGCTGCTCTCGGGGCTGTTGTCACCCGGCACCCACAACCTGCCACTCGTCACCCGCTCCAGCAAAGCCCAGGCCACCCAGGAGCTGCTCCAGGGTGATGCTGAGCAGGAATTGCACTGGGGGGATTTTGGGTGCCCTATCTGGTGTCACACTGCTCAAATGGAAGCTGATCTGGAGCTTCTGTGTCCCCACAACACTGGGATCATCCCATCCCATCGGGTGTAGATGGTGGCAGGACTGATGCCACCATGGTCCTGCCATGCCCGATGGTTTTGGCACTGGTTGGATTTGGGCAGGAAGGGGAATGTTCCCGTGTTGGCACTGGGGTTGGGGACTATGCTGGGTCACCCCCAGAGGGGCACAGTGGCTTTGGGTGTGCAAAGGGCACAGCTGGGGGCACAAGGTAAAAAATGGGGTGAAAATGAGGTGAAAATGGGGTGGACAATGGGCTGTAAACCACAGCCCCCCACCACCAGTACCCCATTTCCTCCAGCAACTCCCCCAGGTGCACAATCCCTCCAGCCCCCCTGGAAGTGGGGGACGCCCAGGCTGGGGGTGCTGCAGGTGCCCGGGGTCACTCCGAAGTGAGGGGCTGGGGACAAGTGAGGAGTGGACAAGGTCGGGGGCGGCCCCACCCCTGTGCCGGCGCTGCCTCACCCTGTGCACCCCGGCCCGCCTCGGTGGCCGGCGGGGACCCCCACCCTTGGGTGCCCCCTCGGGGAGGTGCAGCCCAGGGGTGCTGGGCAGAGCCCTTTGCTACTTACAGGTGTGGGGTGAGCGTGGCTTTGGGGTGTCGGGGTGCCGGCCTGTGCGGGGAGCACCCAGCACACACCTCGGTCAGTGGGTGCTGCGCCCAGGTGAGGCTCCCGCCCCGGCAGGGAGGAGCTGCCGCGCTTCCCTGTTAACCCTTTGTGCCTCCTCTCACCCCGGAACGCTCAGGGAGCCTGAGGGATCACTGCAAAACCCCCCAGAGATCACGGGGTTCTGCGGAGTAGGGGGCTGAGAGAGGCCAGGGGTGCCCATGAGGGTGGGGAAACTGAGGCGCGGGCCAGGGCCTGAGGGTGGAGGGTGTGCGGGGGCGTCCCTGTGTGAGGGGTCTCTCACACCTTCAAAATGATTAATTTGGTCAAGCCCCAATGGTGGGGTCACCTGCAGGTTTGTCCCATGGGGTCAGATCAGGGGGAGACTTTGGGGGTCTCAGCAGTGGCTGTGGGGCCGGGGTGTCACCCCACTCTGTGCCGGGGGTCACAGGCCATGCTGGGGGGACACGGCCACTGAATCAGCCAAGAGGGCAACGCTCAACACCCCCACCCGCTAACCCCCCCCTCAACGCAGCCTCTGGGGACAGCAGCGGGGATGTCACCGTACCTGAGCCGCGGGGCCGGCCCCCGGCCACCTCCTGGCCGCGTCCCTGTCCTTGCCGGGGGCGCAGAGGGTCTCGGAGCGGCTCTTCCCGAGCGGCCGAGCGTGTCCTGGGGGGTCCCCGCGTGTCCCCATGGCAGCAGTGGCACCGCGAAGTGCCGGAGTCACCCGCGCCAGGTCATCCAGGGAGTGCGAGGGTCTCACGGGCTCGGCCGGGTGTGGGACCCGAAAAGAGCTGAGTGATGGTGGTGAGTCCCTTTGGGGCACCGAGTCTCTCCTGGGCACCGAGTCCTTCCTGGGCACCGAGACATTCCTGGGCAGCGAATCCTGGAGCACCGAGTCCTTCCTGGGCACCGAGACATTCTTGGGCACCGAATCCTTCTGGAGCATCGAGTCCCTCCTGGGCACCGAGTCCTTCCTGGGCACCGAATCCTGGAGCACCGAGTCCCTCCTGGGCACCGGGCATCCTCCTGCCGGCTCCCCCGGCTCGGCGGCGCCGATGAACCGATACTCGTAGGCTGGCGGGGGCTGAGGGACGAGCGCGGCCGGCTCTGTCGCAGCGTGTCCCGATGGCGGGGGGTCAAGCGGGGCTGGGGCAGCGATGGGCGGCAGCTCCTTCACGTACTGGGCCGGGATGTAGAAGGGCCGGGCGTCCCCGCTCCTGCGGACGTGCCACCAGTGCGGGTTGGTGCGTTTGAGCAGCACATAGCGCTCGTTGGGTTTGATGGAGACCAAGGTGCCGTCCTTGGCGCGGTACTCGAAGCCGTACTCCACCAGCACCAGCGCCTCCTCCGCCGGCCCCGCCGCCTCCATGGCCTCCCCGCGCCTCCGCCTGCGGGACACGGGGCAGGGGAAGGTGACGGCAGCGCCCAAACCCTCCTGGGCCGAGCACCCCCTAACTCAGCTCCCTCGGGGTCCCCGCTGAGCTGCCGCCCTACGCGGCGGGCTCGCAACCCGCCCGAACCTGCTGCAACAGCCCGGGGTCACCGCCACCATCGCTGTCACCGTGCCCCAGACCCCAAAGGCACCGAGCCCCAAAGGCACCGAGCCCCAAAGCACCGAATCCCCGGTCCCCGCTCTCACCTGCGGCCGGCGCTGGGGCGGGGGCGCGCCCGCGGTGCCGCTCGTGCCCGCGCCGGGCCGGTCCCGACTCGCCCGGTTTCCGCCGCCGCCTCGACGAGAGACGGGGCCGGGCTGCGCGGCGGGTGCGTGCCCGGCCCCCGCTGCTGCTCGGGGTGCTGGGCGCGCCCTGTCCCCTCGGCGGGCGGGACGGGACGGTGGCGGAGGGGACCCGAGGAAACGGCTCCTCGGGAGGTTCCTGCCGCAGGAAGGGCCCAGCCCCGCTGCTGCCGGATCCGGCACGGCCTCCCTGGGCAGTGGGATGGGGACCCCATTAGGGGGGTCCCGTGGGAGCCGCCCTGCCCTGGATTTTGTCCCCGTGCACCCCAGAGAGTTCTGCTGTAGGTGGGCACATCCCAAGTCCTCCAAGCACAGGAGTGGTGGGGAAAACAACAATGGGAGAAGCTGACACTAGTGGGGAGCAGCTGGAAAGGAAAATGGGGAAGGGACCCCCAACCGCTTGTCCAAGTGAAACTCTGGAGGATGGGCAAGAAGGATGGGGGATGGGCAGGGAGGATGGAGGATTGGCAGCATCCCCATTCCCAATCCTCTTCCCATGGACACCGTTTCAGATTCAAACTGTGATGAGGTCCCACTGTGGAGAAGCAAACTCAGAAATGGTTTCACTTGTTGTTAAATAGACTTTAATTATCTTTTTGTGGGGAGGGGTTAAAGGAAAATAAAATTTCTCCCGAGGATGAGCAGCAGCAGGCCGGGAGGAGCGGCCCAGCTCTCCCCAGAGGCCACGGCCCTGGCTGGGCTGTCTGAGTGGGAGATCCTCGGGGCACCCACGGTCCCCCTGGGGCAGGCAGGTCCCTAAAGGCACAAGTGTCACTTTGTCCCCTCCCTGCGTGGATCCACCACCCAGAGCAGCCCAGATGTGCAAAACCCCCATGTAAAAAAATACCAGTTTTCAGTATCCTAAAAAACTAGAGCTTTGATCAATGTCAGTTCTCCACACCCTTGACTGGAATTCTGGGCTGACACCCTGAGGAGCCGCTGGGTTCCACAGGGAGGGGACATTGGCACCAGGAGGGTGACAGGACAGCACCCGGTTAGTCCGAAGGGGGATGGATTTGTCCAGCCCTTCTTTAGCCCTGGGTGGGCAGAGGGTCCCTCCGCAGGGCAGGAGCACCCACCCCACACTGTCCCTGTCCCCAGGGCAGGGCCAGGCGCAGGATGGGGTCTCAGGCAGGGGGGCTCTGCTCGGTCCCTGCCGCCGTCCCCGCTCCCAGGGCAGTGTCGAGGTAAGCGCCGGGCTCCGGGCCGGGCTCTGTGCTGGCCTCCAGCTGCCGCTGATAGCGCTGCCGCCGCTCGCAGCGCGGGCACGCCGGGGCCCGGGCGTGGCAGTCCCGGTGGAAGACGGTTTTGCATTCACTGCACCTGGGAAAAGAAGGAAAAAAGCGAAACCCGCTGTGTTGGGAACGTCAGAGCAAAGAGCAAACTTCCCCCACTGAACCAGGGAACACTTCCCTGTCCTGGTGTGTTTTGAGCACTCACTGAGCAGAGCCCCAGCCACGGCTCAGGAGGAGCCTCGAGTGCAGGAGCAGCAGCTGCTTGAGTGCAACATCCTCCCCAGCAGCTCTTCATCCACAACAGCAGCTCTTCATCCTCCCCAGCAGCCCCTCATCCACCCCAGCAGCTCCTCATCCTCCCCAGCAGCTCTTCATCCTCCCCAGAGGCTCCTCATCCCCCCCACAGCTCCTCATCCTCCCCAGAGCTCCCAATCCACGCCAGCAGCTCCTCATCCACCCAGCAGCTCTTCATCCACCCCAGCAGCTCCTCATCTCCACCCCAGCAGCTCTTCATCCACCCCAGCAGCTCCTCATCTCCACCCCAGCAGCTCCTCATCCTCCCCAGAGCTCCCCATCCACGCCACCAACTCCCCATCCTTCCCAGCAGCTCTTCATCCACCCAGCAGCTCCTCATCCCCCCCACAGCTCCCCATCCACGCCAGCAGCTCCCCATCCTTCCCAGCAGCTCCTCATCCACCCCAGCAGCTCCCCATCCACCCCAGCAGCTCCTCATCCACCCCAGCAGCTCCCCATCCTCCCCAGCAGCTCCTCATCCTCCCCAGCAGCTGGGTGCTGGGCCGGAAGGAGCGTGGTGGGCGCTGCCAATGTGTCAGAGAGACGGGAGTGAGGTTTGAGCTGAGGTTTGTGCCCTGCTCTCCCAGCACCGAGCGCAGTTTGAGGGTGTGACAACACCCCCTGCACAACAAACCCTGTGACAAACCCCAGACATCCACCCTCGTTTCACTGATCCCCTGACACCAATCTCGTGACACCACCCCTGACACTGATCCCTCATCACCAGCCCTTGTGACAGCATCGCTGTTGGGGACCCTCTGCTTGCCATGGCTGGGGTGGGAGAGCCCACCCTGAGAGCAGGACCGGCATGTGGGGACAGCAGAGCTGCAGGGAGGGGACAAGCAGCCAGGAGGGAGCTGCCCTGGAGCAGGTGGCTCTGTGGAGGTGTCAGAGCTCTCGAATCTGGCTCAGCAGCAGCAGGAATGTGACACCCTGCAAAGGACCCCAGCTTGGGCAGGGGTTTCACTGCTCATTCACCAGAAATGTCCCAGCTACAAGGGTTGAGGTCAATTTTTGGGGTGTGATCCCCAGCTCACCAGTGACAGTAAAATGTGGCTCAGCCACATGCCAGCGGGGCAGCCAGATTTACCTTTACTGTGCAAATACCTGGCATACAATCCATGTGTGAATAGCACAAAACACCTTAACTCCCCAAAAGATGCGTGGGAGAGAGGCAGAGAAACACCCAGCAGTGCCAGGAAAGGGACCACAGCATCTCAGCTGGGGCGAAATCCTGCTCTGGAGAGGAGCTGCAAACCCTGAGGGACTCAGGACAGGGAAAGGCTTGAGCACGGGCAGGCAGGATTTGGGATGGAAAATACCCATTCCCCAGGTGGAACAAAATTCCACGTGGCCTCTCCAGATCAGCAGTGGTGGGAGCTGCTCCCCAGGCACGGGGGGATTTGGGAACCCGGGTTTTACCCAGAGTGGTTCTGAGCTAGAACCAGCATCTCCTGCCTCCAGCTCCCCCCGAGCTGCCGGAGCAGGAGAGGCTCCCGCGCTGGCAGGGTCATTGTTTGAGGCGCTGCAGGCACATCCTGCAGCAGGGCCGGTGTGACCCGGCGGGCAGGGGCGGGCACAGGGGCAGGAAGCCGCGTTCAGCTCCCGAGGATGTCGGCTCAGCCGCTTTCCTGCTGCACAGCCTCCTCCGTCAGGGTGAGAAAGAAAGACGTCAACAAACTTCAGAGCTCGGCTCCGCGGGACACGAGAGCTCCGGGCGGCCTTGAGCCAGCTCAGCCCTGCGTGCCAGCGCTTCCCAGAGCACGGCTGCTCTTTTTGCAGGGAAAATCGGTCCCCTGGGGATGTTGTTGTCCTCGATAATGAGCTCAGTGCTGTCCCTGTGGCGGGGAGGGGAGCGAGCAGCGCTGCTCCTCCTCCACGGAAATAAATACTCGCAGCCCTGAACACACGGAGCACCCACGGATCCCGGCATCCGTGGTGGTTTCTGCAGGTTCTGGGTGTTGCTGCTCACTTTTAGGGAGTGCCAGGCAAAGTGAGACCACGCAGCCTGTGAAATCTCTCTGCCAGGATTGTGCTCAATGCCAAATAGGCCAAGACAGCACAAGAGGAAATTGGCCTCAAGTTGCCTCAGGGGAGGTTTAGGTTGGATATTATGGAAAATTTCTTCACTGAAATAGTTGTCCAACTCTGGCAGAGGCTGCCCAGGCAAACAGTGGAGTCACCATCCCTGCAAGGATTTCAAAGCCCTGTGGATGTGACACCTGAGGATATGGGTCAGTGGTGGCCTTGGCAGTGCTGGGTGAACTGTACACGATGATCTTACAGAGCTTTTCCAGGCTGAATGATTCCACAATTCTACGGCATAACCATGGAGATGTGGATCTCTCCAGCTCCAGTGGTGCAGCCTCCTGGCCTGGAAGGGTTTGACTTCTTCAGCAAACCCTGATGGTGGTGGGGATAAGAGCTCCCCTCTAGCACCATCCCCATCCTGATTCCAACTCCTGTTCAGCTGCTGCACCCTGACCCACAGCTGACCCCTCTGCAGGACAGGTCCCTCTGCCTGTGAGGGATGGGAGCTCTGTGGGCAGCGAAAACCAACCCCAGTGAGAGCCAGTATCACCCCTCTCCTGCTGGGAACATCCTCGGCCTGTCCCAGCACATCCCACAGTGCTGCTCCCCATCTACCTCTGCTGTGGCTGCCCCACCCCTGGAAGTGTCCAAGGCAGCTTGGACAGGACTTGGAAGGTGTCCCTGTCCATGGCAGGGGGTGGCACTGGATGGCTTCAAGGTCCCTCCAACCCAAACCATTTTGGCATTCTATGAAATCTGTGTCCATGTGTCCATCCTTCCTTCCATGGCTGCAGAGGGATGTAGGACAGTCCCACTGCTGCTTCCCCTCCCTCCTGCAGCCCCTGCAAGGGCTCAGACACCCTGAGTGCAAGAGGCACTGGCCAGGTGAGCAAGAGAGGGACATGCAGAACCTTCCTCCTCCTCCTCCTCCCTCCAGCTCCTTGGCTGCCCTAGCACCCAGCACCCAGCAAGGCCTTTGCAGGCTGACAGCAGGTGCTGATGGCTGCATCTTCAATCTGCAAAGTCACCTCTCTTGGTGACATCTTGGTTCTGTGAGGACAGCCTGCTCCTGCC